CAGACAAATTAAGTGCATGGTTATGATGAGCAAGGGTGTCTCTTCTAAATTTGTGAAATTCATGGACAGGGATTCTGGAGTAAATGGGCTGAGGACAGTATTGAATATATAAAGAAAATGCATTAATTTGAATCGTCTTCTCTGCTCTTGAGTATTTAGCAGAGAATCTAAGTGCATTGTTATACAATTAGAAAGAACACTTCTTCCAAAAATTGTGAAATTCTTGACCTCTGGGACAGGGGTTCTGGAGTTAGGGTGGGGTTCTTTTATGATCATGTATGGGAATATTTACTCTGCTTTAAGAGAAGTTATTCCCATTTTTTATTAATAAATTAATAAATCTAAATAATGTAATTGATGGGTAAATTGAATAAAAAATTGTACAAGAATTTTTAATATATAATAAATGAAGTACTTTCATAGTTTTTAGTAGTCAGGTAGACTTGTAAATGATAGGTGAATAAAAATGAGACAGAAATACTTTATATACATGTATGTACATTAAATATCATTCAAAGAGCAAGAAAATACTCTATAAATAATGTGAATATAATATACTCAATTATCTGTGAATAATAGTCTGGTAAAACACTTTTGTCTTGTTAGGTTTGGTGTAGACAGCACTAACATATAATACAGGCAGGTTTAGATTATCACACTTAAACTATGATAATCCCCCTGATCATCCTTTCACACTTAAGCTATGAAAATTTCCCTGATCATGCTTTTTAGCTCTACTGGTCAGAGACCAGAAGAGCTTATGCAATAGTAAGGTGTCCGTCGTCCGTCCGTCTGTCTGTCTGTCTGTCTGTCTGTCTGTCTGTCTGTCCGTCTGTCTGTAAACAATTTTTCAAAACGCTACTCCTCCTACAGTTTTGGTCCGATTTCAATATAACTTGGCACACAAGTAGACTACACTAAGATACATAATTTAGTGCATCGGTTTTTGATTTCGATGGACGGTGTTGCCATGGTTACTAAAAATAGAAATTTCTGTGAAATTCCTTTAAAACGCTACTCCTCCTACAGTTTTGGTCCGATTTCAATATAACTTGGCACACAAGTAGACTACACTAAGATACATAATTTAGTGCATCGGTTTTTGATTTCGATGGACGGTGTTGCCATGGTTACTAAAAATAGAAATTTCTGTGAAATTCCTTTAAAACGCTACTCCTCCTACAGTTTTGGTTCAATTTCAATATAACTTGGCACACAAGTAGACTACACTAAGATACATAATTTAGTGCATCGGTTTTTGATTTCGATGGACGGTGTTGCCATGGTTACTAAAAATAGAAATTTCTGTGAAATTCCTTTAAAACGCTACTTCTCCTATAGTTTTGGTCCGATTTCAATATAACTTGGCACACAAGTAGACTACACTAAGATACATAATTTAGTGCATCGGTTTTTGATTTCGATGGACGGTGTTGCCATGGTTACTAAAAATAGAAATTTCTGTGAAATTCCTTTAAAACGCTACTCCTCCTACAGTTTTGGTCTGATTTCAATATAACTTGGCACACAAGTAGACTACACTAAGATACATAATTTAGTGCATCGGTTTTTGATTTCGATGGACGTTGTTGCCATGGTTACTAAAAATAGAAATTTCTGTGAAATTCCTTTAAAACGCTACTCCTCCTACAGTTTTGGTCCGATTTCAATATAACTTGGCACACAAGTAGACTACACTAAGATATATAATTTAGTGCATCGGTTTTTGATTTCGATGGACGGTGTTGCCATGGTTACTAAAAATAGAAATTTCTGTGAAATTCCTTTAAAACGCTACTCCTCCTACAGTTTTGGTCCGATTTCAATATAACTTGGCACACAAGTACACTACACTAAGATGCATAATTTATTGCATCGGTTTTTGAATTCAATGGACGGTGTTGCCATGGTTACTAAAAATAGAAATTTCTGTGAAATTCCTTTAAAACACTACTCCTGCTACAGTTTTAGTCTGCTTCTAATATAATTAGGCATACAAGAAGACTATACTAAGATACATAATTTATTGCATTGGTTTTTGAATTCGATGAACAGTGTTGCCATGGTTACTTAAAATAGAAATTTCTGAGAAATTCCTTTAAAACGTTACTCCTCCTACAATTTTGGTCTGATTTCAATCTAATTTGGCACACAGTTAGAATACACTACGATACATAATATGTATTTCTGTTTTTTTTATTTGGGTGAATGGTGTTGTCATGGTTACCGGTACTAAAAATAGAAATTTCTGTGAAATACTTTCAAAACGCTACTCCTCCTAGTTTTCATTTGATTTCAATATAACTTGTCACAAAAGTAGACTACATTAAGATACATAATTCTATTTATTGTTGCATGTTGCAATGTTTCAAATCCAAGTGCTACTTTTCTTTTGTTATACAAACAGACCAGTAGAGCTACAGTCTCATCAGAGACTTCTGGTTTCCTTTATCTCTTTCTTTTTTTTGTGAGTGTCAGTGCATTTTGTCTTATTTTATATTTCATTCCATGGATCCTTTACACTAGGATTGTATTATACTCAGGTGACCATTAAGGCTCTTGGGCTTCTTGTCAGCTCATCTAAACCAAGGTGTTTTCCACTTAGCCTACATTTGAAAAAAAAAAAATACAGATTAATCTGTGTTGGCTAATTGGGAATGGCGTGCAAGTACAGAACAAAAGAATTTAATAATTACAGGTAGGGGAATAAACCTTAGCATAAGGTTCAAATGAGTATTTCTGATCGAAGTTTGTCTGTTGTCAAAATGTCCATCTGTCTGTTAATTTTATACATTTTCAGCTTCTTCTTTAGAACCACTGGACCAATTTCAACCATACTTACCAAAAAGCATTCTTGGGTGAAGGGGATTCAAGTTTGTTCAAATGAAGAGCCATGCCTCAATGAAAGGGGAGATAATCAAGAAAATGCAGAATTAGGGTTAATGTTTTAAAAAAATCTCATGAACCACTGAGCCAGAAAAAATGAAAATTATATGAAAGCTTCCTGACATAGTGTCTCTATTCACACATTACTTTCTGCTTGCTCACTGCTCAGGAGTTGTTCACTAAATTTCTTCTTAAGTTTTAAAAATATATTAGTTTTAAGTGATAAAATATTAAATAATGTGCTTATAAAATGATACGAAACCAGGGCAATTGCATGAGTAGTATCTACATTTTTAATCATAGTCATTGATTAAAATTTAATGGATTATAAAATGAAATGTTTGAATTCATTCAAAATCAAACAATTTTGACTTCTTTTATTTTAATTTTAATGCTTTATTAATTAGAATTGTGATAAATAATTTATTTTAAAGATTATTTTTTTTTTGCAGTTTTATAAATACATGTATAAATTTATGTCAGTACTATTATTTTTTGTCATTGTACTGATTCAAAAATACTGTATATATTAATCCTCTTTTTCACAAATAAAAAAGAAACCAATAGATCAGTCACTAAATGACCCCCCCCCCATACCCACCCACCTCCCCAAAAGAATTCAAAGGACTATATTCTGTACTGGCCAATAGCTATCCACTAATCAAACCTTGATGGAGAGATCTTTATTTATGTTCTAAGCCAGAAAGATATTTGCAGACTTCAAAACAATGAACAATTTCATATTTTATTATGTCATAAGTTAAATTTGATATCAAGAAAATGACAAAAATTCAATATTTCAATGATTTTTTTTTTTTGGGGGGGGGGGGGGGTGTATTTCACACTAATACTTTGATTTGAAAGTATAAAGTGCAGGTCTGCTCAGACTGATCTTTTGATATAATGTGTAGAATGATAATTTCAATGAAAGAAGTAAAAATAGTACCCGAGCACGTTTGCGTTCCATCTGTAAATACTGGTCAAAATTGAGCAAATTGTGTGCATTTTGTCTTCTTTTTTGTTTGAAAAATATCATTAAAATCCCAATATTATAGTTTGTGATGTCACAGAGACAAAAATGCCGAACTTTAATTGATTGAACATTTTTCTAATTCAGATATTATAAATTACATATAATATACAATGGTGCACATTTGAAGAGATTTTCAAAATCTTACTATTATTGGAGCAGGAATATGCCTTTACCAAACATAGTTCTTTAAGATGAATGATGGTTGACTTCCTTCTTTGAAAAGAAATGATTTATCAGATAAAAGGTTTTATAGGTTTTAATTCAGTCTTTTTCTAGGCAATTGTATGAAATGTTTGTAGAAATGTCTAAAAAGACTATTTAAAAAGATGCCATTTTTGCCCCCACCCCCACCCCCACAAGGGCTTCTCCCTGAACCCAGTGGGGGCCACGGGGCAAATCTCAGACCCCCTGCCTGATCAGCTGGCATCCCTCTAACTTTGAAATCTGGTTCTGCCCGGGTGTGTGACAGGCTGTCATCAGCCAATGGTTGACAATCTGAAAAACAGATTTTGTTGTTGTTGTTGTTGAGATCATGAGACTTATAATGTGCTTACTGAATCTGTACCCTAAAATTGAGCTAAAATAAAAATAAGTAGGTATTACTGATATGAAGTTCATTAAAGAACTATTATTTATACAGTAAGCCCAGTTTACATTAGTGTCTAGGTAAATGTGTTCTGAACCATTAAGAGGACATTGTCCTTTGACCCAGTGAGTGGCTGGAACTTTCAGGAACAAGGCAATGAGCTGAGTATGAAAAGGGATGCACTGTGACCAATCTCCTATTTATAAGGGAATAAAAAAAAAATAGATCATCTGGCGACTTACTTTACGGTCAATGGTATCCTGAGCATTAAAGTGTTAGTATGTATAGGGACAAAGACAGGATTGTGAGATTGTTTATATTTCACTAAGTATATCTTAATCTAGACCATTTGTTCTCTCATTATGTTTATTAATTAGTTAATTAAGCAGCCCAAAAATGTGTGTAATTATATCCTAAACAAAGTGTGTACATGACAAATGGCAACATGTGACATTGCCATGTTTGTTAATGTTGACCTTAATTTCTGTTACAGAGGATGAGAAGGTGGACCCTGTTCTGTGTATGAAGACTGTCAGAATGAACCCCGCCATGGGGCATGACCCAATGTCATCAGAATCCAGCCATATGCAACTTTTGAATCATGGAGCCATTGACTTTTTGGAAGGTAATCAAAAGTTGAGGCCAATGACCTCTGTCTTTATTGATCTGACGTATAGGGGGCTTTGTACATATATAAGTAACTCAGGCTTGTATGACATTTCCCTGATAAAGAAGCTAAAATTTCAACAGACACAAAAAACCCGGTGATAAAATGTATGTTAAAGTGAATGAGATTCAACATTTATATTCTGATGAAGGAAGTGAACATTGTAAGTAATTTTTTTCTGTCAATAGTACATATATGTTGATAAAGGATGATTTAAAACATTTATTAATTATTTTATTAGTTACATAGTTTTAATCAATTCATTGGAAAGCTTTCCCTCCCCATCCTCCTCCTTAGAGGAGGGGAGGTGTTATGTGAAGACAAGTTCCTACAATGATGAGAAGTATGATATTGTTATCCCTTGCTCACAGACTCACTCGCCGACAATGTTAAATTGTATTAATAAGGGATGGGTATCGCCAAACATTTTGTATCGTAATACATGTATATCACAATTTTCCCCCAAAATATCACAATAATACTAGTATCATATTTTTACACAAAATTTTTAAATGATTTTCAATGAATATCTATTAGTTTTCCTACAAATATGCTGGAGAAACATAACTTCATTTTTTTTCATTTTTTTACTTACCTAATATAAAGCATATTTGGATGCTAGGTTGCCATTCTTTTGCCGTTTTCAACATTTTTTTTACACTTCCTGTAATTTTGAACAAATAAATGAATAATTTCTGGAATTTATAATTATGTACCTATAAAACTGATATTTTAGTCTCCGTATCACGATACATATCATGCAATTAAAAATCATGATTTACCGATATACCAATAAAATCGCACATCCCTAGTATTAGATTTCTTAGTATCACAAAGCTAGGTTATTAAATTCTGTACATGTCAATTCATATCAATGAAGATGATTGAAGAGTAAAAAGTAAATTTTTGTTGAAGATGAAATAAGTACCGATATTCATTTAATTAAGTACTCCTCTAATTACGAGGGACTATTTATGAATCATATTACAATAAGTCAAACGATACCTTTTGTGATAGGTCTCTGTGACAGCTAGTTGATTGTTTTGTAAGATCAAAAAAGAGGACTTTAATAAGATTTGTTTTCTTTGGCATTTCTTTAGCATAGAATTAAAATGTGTCTTTAAAAGGTTTTCTATTTATACCCCCCTCTGAAGCAAAGATGGGAGGAGCATACAAGATTCACCCTCATGTCTGTCCATTCCTGCCATTTAATTATTTGTCCATGTAATTACATCTTGGCTATAACTTAATATTGAGAAACATTGAAGACTTGTCTTTGATATTGCCTATCAGCTAAGGATGTGTTTTTACTTTATACTCAGGTTCATTAGAACAAAGTCAGTGGCAAAAAATGTTTAAAATTTTTGTCCAGTGCATAAATGTGTAATGTAGAAACAATGGAAGCTCATATATGACATACAAATTGCTTAAAATCTGAGGGTTTTCTTGGCCTGAGGTTATTTGAACAAAATGGTCAGTGGCTGCTAAATAAGAAAACTGATTATCTGTACAATTCTTATCTTTGTGAAATACTGTATATGGAGGAAAAAACATTGAAAGATTGACCAAAGTAAAAGTGAAAAGTTGTTTGTGACCTTAAGGAATGCTATGACCTTGTCTGTTACCTGGAGGAGTTCTATGATCTTGGTCTAATGTCATCTGAACAACTTAGAGTCACTGATAGAAAATGCATTAATTTTGTGTCTTGAACATGATTTGATGATAGAGAAACAGTAAAAGCTTATAATTGTCATAAAGATTGCTTATGACCTGAAATGTAATCTAACCGACATTGACCCATGGTCATTTGGAGAGTTTACTTCAAGGTCAAAGGCAGAATTCATGCAATTTCTGTCTGTGCCATTGTGTAATTGAGAAACACATGAAGATCATTGTAAAAAAGCTAGATTTGATGGGTTTGATTCAATTTTTTTTTCAAAACATGGGGCCCGTTTTACAAAAGGACTTACGACTAAGACCAAAAACTTAAGTTGATTGTAAAATTTTGCAAAATTAAATATTCTGTTTAAAATTGCCAGTGTTAAAATATCTTACTACAATTCCTTTTAAAAAGATTAAAACCATTTTCTAATGTAAATAAGAAAGTTATAAACAGAATTAAATTTTGGTCTTAGTCATAAGTTCTCTTGTAAAACGGACCCATGGCCCATGGAGGCAAGAATGGGACCGACCAAAAGTTTTTCAGTCAACATAATGCGAAAGCATCCCCATGAACTTTAGGATCAAAGTTTTGTATGAAAATCTTTAGATATCATCTTTTGTAAGTTTAAAGGTCCACCAGTTAGTCAAATTCATACGAAAACATCCCCATTTGCTATAAATTCAGCAGCCCCTTGGCTAAGAGGGAGACCAACGATTTACACAGAGATATTATATTACTGGTACTTTATCATCTGTCAAATTCATATATGACAATCAAATCCAGTTATTTTATTCCCTGAGAAGAAACTCCCATCAGTATATAGTGCATTAATGACTCCATTTAAAACTTTTCAGAATAATTCAAGTGAAAAATAATTAATTATGAAAAAAAATTATGAGAAAAATAATTAAATCTGTTTTACTTCAGTCTTATATCATTCTTTGATCAACACATTCTTTGCCTTCATAGACTAATAAAAGGAATGCTTCTCTCTCCCTCCCTATCTCTCTCTCTCTCATTTTGATTGGTTACTTGAATATCTCGGTCAGGAGAGTGCATGCATTACAGGCCAATAACCCCTGACGTAGGGGTGTATTGATTACTAAATTATCCGGAAATGTAAAGCATATAGGACAGACAGTAGCACTTTATGTAAATTATGGATTATTGCAGGAGGTGTCTTTGTTTGAAAGGTTGAGAGGATTGATGTATTATTGATTTTTCATAATGCTTTAAGTGATTTCTCACATAATTGAAAATGATTTGGTAATTGCAGTTATTCATATACTCTCTTTTTTCAAGTGGATCCATAAAATAATGATGATAAAAATAAGAGTATCACAATATTATTTTTTTATCATTAACAGGGACTTATATACTATATATAGGTCCCTGTCATTAACTTAACTTTTCATGAAATCTTCAAAAAAAAAAAAAATATGTTTGAAGAAAAATTTTTCTTACCACGGTCCAATTAAAAATGACAAATAATGTAGAACTCATATTTTCCCTTTCCTTTCATATCAATGAATTAACTTTAATTAAAAAAAAACAAAAACCCACTTATTAATGTTCTTCTGATATAATTTAGGCCTATCTTTGTTGAAATGAGATTAATATACACTTAAATTGAGTAAAATAATGAAACAACTCATTCTGTATAAATATTGTGATATATGTAGAGTATATTGGATTTTCGGTTTCATATATCTATTTATGGTGATTCTATGTCGACAAGATGTTTTTAACGAGCATTATACACGTCAATAATGCATTATGTGATCTTTTGGGGTATATAGACGCCACTAGTGATTGACGCGAGTTATTTCCCTTCCCTCATTACTGACCAGGCATGACAACAACACAGACATGAATATATTTTCTCTAGTTCACGCCTTAATCGACACCAAGAATGTCCGACCGAAAGTGTAGGTATCACAATGTTTAGTCCTTTGTTTATTTTTTTTACTTATGTGAAAAAAATCAGTTTTGATCTAGTCAAAACTGTGTGTTTACGGAGTTGGAAGGTTGGACCGCTGCCAAGTTCATGGACATGTACACAGAGCTCCTCCATAACATTGCGTTGGATTATTTTTTCTGTACCTGTGTTATTAGTTTCTGCAATGGGCTATCAGTGTATGTGTATGTGAATTATCTCTACGGTTCGGTATGATGAGGCAAGTTGACTTGTGTACAAGATGCCGTTCTTTAACGTTATATCTTGATACCTAGAGCTCTTTAAAATCTAGTCTATCTTTAGTAAATTTCGAAGGAGATGGGGGGGGGGGGGTTAATGCAGTTAATGTCATTGTCACTCACACTGTTGTAAAAAAAAAAATAATTAGTAGTTGTGATGGACTCAAAATAGACACTTTTTAAACAACATGGCCATTAAAGAATATCATTCAGTGTTGAAACATTGTTTATTTTGAACAGCACCCATGAATGCAGATCAACCTTATGGAATGGACCATCATGGCTCCTACATGGCACAAAGTGCTTATGACCCCTATGGTTACAGCCAGAAGACTAATTATATGGTACACCAGGGTATCAAAAGTAAGTATCTGTATAACTATATGTGTGCATTGTATTGAAACAGGATTTTGTGTGTATTCTTGAATTGGATCAATGTATACAGAAGAACATTCTTACATATACATTATACATACCACATATGTGTTAATATACACACATGTTTAGTCATTGAAATGTCTTTGGACACATCATATCTTTAGTTATATCTATTAGTTATTAGTCCCCTACCGGTGAAACCGGAGGGGACTATAGGTTTCCTCTGAGTCTGTCCGTCCGTCTGTCTGTCTGTCCGTCTGTCCCTCTGTCTGTCTGTCAGTCTGTCCCACTTGGTTTTCCGCACTTTTTTCCTAAACGCTTGCAGATAATGAGCTGAATTTTGGTATGTGAGTGTATCTTGATGAGTTACAGATCAAGTTTGCATTTCGTTCACTGATTTTTGACGGAATTACGGCCTTTTCAATTTTTAGGGGTTTTCCGCAATTTTCTTCTAAACGCTTTCAGATATTGAGCTGATCTTTGGTATGTGACTTTACCTTGATTAGTTATAGACCAAGTTTGCATTTCGGACCGCTTCATTGATTTTTGACGGAATTATGTCATTTTCAATTCTTAACGGGAACCAGATTACACTTGCCGGTAGGGGACTAGTATTGCTAATGCAATACTCTCAGAATGCTTGTTATAATTAGTATCTGGTAATTGTACAAGTAAATATGATGAAAACTGGGTTCTTTATTCTTTTCAAGAAAGCAAGGTGACTCAGATACAACTGGTACTTTCTCAGAAACCCATCAACAACTTCATCTGACTTTTTCTCTGGTCATCAATGGTTATAAATGTAATTTTCATATACCCCCCCCCCCCCCCAATTCCTACGGGCCTGTAATCTGTTCCTCTGAGCTTGCTACAGCATCCTTTAAAGTTAAATTTTTTGATGCAGGTTCACGTTTCACTTGCCACATAAGAGTTTGTCAATAACTCAGATTTATGCTGAGGTTCAAAGTCATTAAATGTTTTTAGCTCACCTGAGCCGAAGGCTCAAGTGAGCTTTTCTGATCACATTTTGTCCATCGTCCGTCCGTCCGTCTGTCCGTCTGTCTGTCTGTCTGTCCGTCCGTCTGTAAACTTTTCACATTTTTGACTTCTTCTCAAGAACCACTGGGCCAATTTTGACCAAACTTGGTACAAAGCATCCTTGGGTGAAGGGGAATTTAAATTGTTAAAATGAAGGGCCATGTCCCCTCACAAGGGGAGATAATCAAGAGAAGACAAAAATAGGGTGGGGTCATTAAAAAATCTTCTTCTTAAGAACCACAGGGCCAGTAAAGCTGAAACTTATATGGAAGCATCCTGGGGTAGTGTAGATTCTAAATTGTTCAAATCATGACCCCCGGGGGTAGAGCGGGGCCACAATAGGGAATCCAAGTTTTACATTGAAATATGTAGTAAAAATCTTTAAAAATCTTCTTCTCAAGAACCACTGGGCCAGAAAAGCTGAAACTTATGTGGAAGCATCCCGGGCCAGTGTAGATTCTAAATTGTTCAAATCATGACCCCTGGGGGGTAGGGCGGGGCCACAATAGGGAATCCAAGTTTTACATTGAAATATGTAGTAAAAATCTTTAAAAATCTTCTTCTCAAGAACCACTGGGCCAGAAAAGCTGAAACTTATGTGGAAGCATCCTGGGGTAGTGTAGATTCTAAATTGTTCAAATCATGACCCCCGGGGGTAGGGCGGGGCCACATTAGGTAATCTAAGTTTTACGTTGAAATATGCAGAAAAAGTCTTTAAAAATCTTCTTCTCAAGAACCACTGGGCCAGAAAAGCTGAAGCTTATGTGGAAGCATCCTGGGGTAGTGTAGATTCTAAATTGTTCAAATCATGACCCCCGGGGGTAGGGCGGGGCCACAATAGGGAATCCAAGTTTTACATTGAAATATGCAGTAAAAATCTTTAAAAATCTTCTTCTCAAGAACCACTGGGCCAGAAAAGCTGAAACTTATGTGGAAGCATCCTGGGGTAGTGTAGATTCTAAATTGTTCAGATCATGACCCCCGGGGGTAGGGCGGGGCCACAATAAAGAATCCAAGTTTTACGTTGAAATATGCAGAAAAAATCTTTAAAAATCTTCTTCTCAAGAACCACTGGGCCAGAAAAGCTGAAGCTTATGTGGAAGCATCCTGGGGTAGTGTAGATTCTAAATTGTTCAAATCATGACCCCTGGGGGGTAGGGCGGGGCCACAATAGGGAATCCAAGTTTTACGTTGAAATATGCAGAAAAAGTCTTTAAAAATCTTCTTCTCAAGAACCACTGGGCCAGAAAAGCTGAAACTTATGTGGAAGCATCCCGGGGTAGTGTAGATTCTAATTGTTCAAATCATGACCCCCGGGGGTAGGGTGGGGGCCACAATAAGTACTACAGGGGGGGGGGTCAGGTGAAAAACAGCAAGGCCAAGGTTACTCTCAGGTGAGCGCTGTGGCCCATGGGCCTCTTGTTATTCCTACAATATGGTTTGGCAGTTGGGCTTAAACAAAGCTCCCCACCAAATTAGTCAAGATATATTCCAAATAAAAAGAAATATGTGAATATACAGTGATCTGGCACTTAAACTTGATAAGCAGATGATAATAAACCATGCAAAGATACAGAGATTTGCTTATATGAGAAGAGCATATGCTCCATTTTTATGCCCCCCTATAATCGAAGATTCAGTGGCATATAGATATTGGCCTAGCTGTCTGTCAATTGTTTACAAAACCTTTAACCTTGCCCTTAACTTTTGATTGGTTGGATCTAAGGCTTTCATATTTTACATGTGTATTCCTTGTGACAAGACCAACATATTTGACTTCTTGACCTCAGAGTTTAACCTTAACTTTTAAACAGTTAGTGCTAAGGCCATATAAATTTAAAATTTAGATTCTCATCCTAATTTGCTAAAAAATTGGGGCGGGTGGGCGGATTTTATTTTTTATTTTTTATAATTGAAAGTATCAACAAAACATTCGTACACGTAATTTTTACATATGTTAATGACAATATAAATAGATTTTATTGTTTTCATATTCTTTTAAATATCTACAGAAGATTCTTGTTATAGAATATTTATAGTTTTATTAACAAATTATCAAGTACACGGATACGGCACAAGCCAAACAAAATGAGGTGCTGATCCTAATAAACTGCATATGCATGTTTTCTCATCGGCCTTTTCCCAAATACCTTATAGTTTTACCAACAACTCCTGTTCTGTGTGATATATAATCTGTACAGATATCACAGATTTACGCTGTCCTGATACATTCAATCGTTCTTGAGACTTGACATGTTCGACATTAAAATATATCATATTTGCAAAACAGGATTGTGTAAATCTGTAAAATATTCTACTGAAAAGCCTAGGCCTGAACAGTTTTAAGATTTAATATTTCCATAGCACTATTATTCTCTAAAGTCTTTGGACGATGTTTTATTTTTTTTAATGCAAAATCACATACAACTGGAGATCGTTATTAAAAACTTGACCATGTGTATTTTCTTCGTCTGTTTTTACTTGGTTAAAATCTCTTTAAAAACTTGCCCATGCCAGTGATGATATCTATAGATGTGTTTATATGTTATTTTTGCTTTTCTGCCTTCTCTTTACTGACAAATTATCTTTTCCTTACATATTTAAACTGCCTTTATTGCCGATTTTTCTCCATTCTTCACATAGTTTTTTGCTATAAATAGCGCCACGCGACTTTTAATACAGACGGGAGATAACTCTTAAATTTTGACCCAGATTCTTGCTGAATAAAAATACATGAAAATAATACGTTTGGCACCCAAAAAGCAAAATAAAAAACAACGGGGCGGGGCACTTTGAGAGGGGCGGGCGGGGATGAGAATCTAAAGATTAATTTTACCTGGCCTAAGGCTTTCATATTTCACTTTGTAACAAGACCTTTTCTTAGGTACCAACATTTTTGACCTTGATCTTTGAGTTGGACCTACTTTTGTAAAAAAAAAAATGAAATTCAACTTTGGCCATATCTTTTAAACAGTTAGTACTATGGCTTTCATATTTCACTTGTGTATTCTTGTCATGTGTATTCTTTGTTACAAGACCTTCCCCTGGGCACCGACATTTTTGACCTTCTGACTGTGTAGTATGACCTACTTTTAAAAAACTAGTGCTTTCATATTTAGTTTATGTATTACTCATGACAAGACCTTTCTTTGGGTACCAACATTTTTGATCATTTGACTTTGACCTTGAATTTTGATACTTTTGAAAAACTTTCAAAAAACTTGATCTAGTATGACCTATTTTTGAAAAACTTGAACCTCACAATAAATTTAGAACAGTTGGTGCTAGGGCTTTCATATTTCACATGTGTATTCCTTGTGACAAGAACTTTTCTTGCATATCAACATTTTGGACCTCATGACCTTGGATCGAGTTTTACCTTTGAAAATTTTTTAACCTTGACAATAATTTCTGAGTAGTTGGTGCAAAGGCTTTCATATTGCACATGTACATTCCTTGTGACAATGAAGACCTTTCTGTTGGTACCAACATTTTGACTTCTTGACCTTGGAGTTTGTCTTGCATTTGAGAAACTTTAACCTTGACAATGAGTTGTCATAGGGACATCAGTGTTTCACAAACACGTCTTACATAGTTGCAGGGTATTTTGTTTACTTTGATACCCAGGTTAGTAGGCCAGCATCCCATTGGTTTATAGCTCATGAATGCATTGTATTGTGTTCATATTTCACAAGTAGTTAGCAAAGCATGTGAGAAAGTTCCCTGTAGTTTTTTCGTGATCAGCAGTAAAGGCCACCTGACCTGTGGATAAAATAAAATAATTTATAGATAATATTTGGACTTCAAATTGATCTGTTGGTGTGAGTTTTACATACTAAGTGCTCATAAGTACTGCAAATTTGGACCAAAGTTACTATCAATTATCAAACTGAATTGGTACCATACAAATAATTATATACTGTATGTGTACTTAAAAAAGCAGGCTTTATATTTTAGCGGCTTTGGCGCAAACAACGATGCGCTAATACATTCTATTTCCACTATGGAAGAGTTATAGTTCTTAGAGCGCTCTTTTGTGAAAAAGTAGGAAAATGTACAAATCTTGCGAGATTTCTGGGACAGACATAACATAAACATGTAAACAATATGTGAATCTTAACAAAAATGCAGATGAAACATTTTATTGTTGTGGAATTTATATGCATCAAAAGTAGAAATGCCAACGATATCAATTTATATCTATTATTGATCGTATGTATCTATTTATTGTATATTACATCTAAATACAATGCACATGCGTCAGAAATCTCGTATTTTGTTAATGGATGATAAATTTAGGGTTCTTGCTCTCTTACATACGTTTATTAGTTCTTCTATCCTTTAATTGGAATGACAAATACATTTAACATTTAAAATTGGATTGAGACTGACATGTTTTGTATTATCCGCAACGTCATGCTGTCCCAGTTAGATGACCAAACGCACCTCTAATTTGAAGAGTTCTAGTAATGGAAATCAAATGTATTCATGAATACCGCTAAGAAATCATTTATAAATACAATATACAGCATGGATATGTATAGCACTAATTCATGATTTCGCCAATAACTCCATACCCAGTGATTGCGCTAAATTTTGAATACGCCAATTTATGTACACATACAGTAATTGGTACTTATTTTGAACTTTCTTTAAAAAAAATTAAATAAAAATAACTATATAGTATTTGAATATCCTCATAAATGAAAAATTTCAGCACATAATCTGTGAGACCAACTTCAGAACATGCTAAGTTGGAAAGTTCATCTACCATTTGTATGGGAAATAGAGTAACATCCTGTAATGTTAAAAGATGAGTATAAGTGTGGTTAAAAAATTATTTTAAGAATATATAGTGCCTATATGTTTATATGAATGTTAAGCTTTTCAGTTGATTGTTGCTTACATGCTTTCAGTGATACTCATGTGATATAGTCTGTGACTATCTTAATAGTGCTAATGTCATAAGGCTAGTCCAAGTGGATTTACAAGGCCATAGTTCAAAGGATCGCTATTGTTAAATAACATGAAAAATGGGTAACGTATTATTAAGTAATTTGCAAACTGCATCAAATGAAATCAGCACTAGCAAATCACATCAGTTTGCAGGTGACAAGTTTAAGGTCAAAGTTATCTTTGATTAAGACCAGTTTCCTTTGACTTATTTTCAAATGATCATGACCTGTCAATTTTCTTTTTTTTTTTGGTCAGAATATATATTATCCTTTATTTAAGATTATTCAAAGATGTTCTGGGCTATAACAGCAAAAATTGTAATTTTGATGGCCATGACCATTGCATTGCAAAGAGAAGAATCTGCTACAAATTAAAAAATGCCAAATTTTTAAAAATATTTTTTTCATTAAATATGAAATGGATCAAGCAGCAGGCATAAATGCCTATAATCTTTCTCTCCAAAATATATAAAAATATATATCCTGATTTTGCTCGTCATCTTAAAAAATGCTGCAGCAAGTTTCAGAGCCTGAAAATTTTGTCTTTCTGATCTGTCATATTGAGGATCAATTATAGGCTGTATAGCTGGAGAAAACAAGGTTTGACTATAATCATATGTATCAATTTTCTTTTAATGAGTCCAGTTTATTTCTGTATACCTGTTATAGGTGATACATGTAATATACAGTCTGTTTATTCAGTAAAACCTATTACAGTTGCACAATCTTTACTGCATAAACAGAGAATGTATTAAAGTGTGTAACATAGATTACATAGATCCTAGCAGATCCAATAGTAGATTATGTAATTAAATCCTGTGTATATTATATTTATCTTCATGATAAAGGGTATGATATATGAGATAAAGATTTATGATATTATATTTCACTTTACAAATAACAAGATTTGCTTGTGTGTTTGTGTGGATGAGTTATAATTTAGGACATGTAGTTTCAGAGCCCTTTCAGGTTGCTACTTATATACAGTATAATTTTCATCCCTTTTTGCCCTCATCACAAGTGAGTGAATTTGATTGGAGTGAATTCAAGGAAGACAGAGTTAAGTCTTTGGTAAAACTGTGTTTGGGCAAATTTAAAAATGGGGCAAAAGTGTAAGTGTGATGGGATGAAAAATAACCCTGCATACAGTACTATTATCCAATTACACCATGTCAGTTTGCTTAATGGAGCTTGGTAAAATTTCATAAATTGAATACCATATTCTCATCACTTTGATGTATGGTTTCAGTGATATGAATACTACTTTGCATGGAACCCAACTATTCCACTGATAATTACTGAACAATCGCATTGAATAAATTTGTTTATGAATATGGCATTTAATTGTAATACCTAGTAAGCAGCAACATGTTGTCAGTTAAAGTCCATTTGCTTCTTAAGCCGTGTCATATTCAGTTGTTAAATGAATGGTGGGGTGGAGATAATAGAAGAAAGCTACACTGCTACACGTTTGCAAGTGAAAATTTAAAAAAAGCTTTTATTTCATACATTTTACTTGATGTTCCCAATCTTCCTTTATAAAAAATTCTAGTGCTTTAATGTGTTAATCAAAATTATTTTAATAAACCTAAATCTTTATGAGGTTCCTTTCTCATATTTAGGTTTAAAAGCAAAAAGTATTTTGGAAATTGATATTACAATATGACATTATAAAAAGTCAAACAGGCTTTGACTGACCACATTTTATCATTGTTTAATGTATTATCATATACAAACATTCAATACAATTGGTCAGTGCTGTCAGTGGTATTGCTGGGTTTTCTGTTTCATATGCAAAGTATAAGTATTGATTTCATTGAACAGTCGATGAGAAATATGATGATCAACATTTAAAACATAGCATGCTTGATCAGGTGAAGTGATGGCTGTTATTGGAGTGATAATAGTATAAGCTGACATTATGTGACCTAGTACCACCAGTTTGCTTTAGAACCTTATGAGGATGCCTGTTCTATAAACTCCAGATAGGACCTGTCATCTTAATATGAAGAAGAATGTGGATCTATTGATCTGCATCCATCTCTGTATGTCACTATTTGAAATCTAGCAGCTCTGCCTTGTAGAATCAATTTTTTTTCCAATATTATTTATTTTTCAAGAATCCCTGTCCTATCTCTTAATCTGTCTTAAATGGGAAAAGGAGGGGGTGTGGGGTGTTGACCTTGTAAAAAACTTTAATGATGACAGTCAAATTATTCTATTTTTCAAGGGTTAAATTTAAACAATAAATTTTGCTGTAATAATTTATACAATTATAATTGAAATTAAGTGCAAGAATTGAGGATCACGTGACCTAGGAAAAGAAGCATGTCTGAATACAATTGTAAAGGTGTGAGAAATGCCTTTATTTCTATTTTATCGATTGTATGGACAGACAAAAACAATCTTTCTGTGTGCATGCTGAAATCTGTGTACATTACCAAAGGTGTATTTGTTGTTTATGTAACACCATGCATGTGAGTTGAAATACTAGTAAACTAGTAGGTATGTCTAATTCAGACCTGTTAGAGGGCTGAAGATGACAATTACTGCATGTACCTCAGTTTTTAATGTGTTCTTTGTCTTTTCAGGTCAAGTCTTCGACCCTCAGGGAATGTATGAGATGCAGAGCCCTACAACAATGTCAGACATGAGTATGTCCCCCTCTCCACCCCCGCCCCCCAGAGTTTACAAACCCTGTGTGGTGTGTAGCGACAAGTCTTCAGGGTATCATTATGGTGTTAGCTCCTGTGAAGGATGCAAGGTACCACTTCAGCATTTCAGATTTGTCAGATAGATTTTTTCTTTTAAAAAAAAAAAAGCATTGTGTAAATTTGCATGTTGTTGTAAGAATCTGGTGCAGATTACTTTTGTCATTAATGATTGTTTTTGTTGCTGTTTTTCTATTCAGTTCATACCTAAGAATACATAAGGGGTTTCATAATTGCCTATAAACATTGTTGATTTTTTTAGGGATTCTTTAGAAGGAGTGTTCAGAAAAACATGCAATACACTTGCCACAAGGATAAGAATTGTCCTATTAACAAAGTGACCAGAAATCGCTGCCAGTATTGTCGTCTTCAGAAGTGTTATGCAAGTGGGATGTCTAAAGAAGGTATCTTAAACAATGGTAACTTCCTAACACCAAATTATAAAATTTGCTCTTTAAAAAATAAAAAATACTACTAAAACATTTTGACATATAACAGAAAACAAATGAAAAGAAAGCATTTTAAATGACTGTTCAACATTACAGCGGTGAGAAATGACAGGAATAAAAAGAAAAAGCCTAAGTTAGAAAATCCCTCCTCCAATGCTGAGGAGATTACAGAAGATGAACAGAGTGTATTACAAGACATTCTAGAGGCCCACAAAGTGACATTTCCCCAGATAGAGGAGGCAGTGTTGTCCCCCATGTCCTGTCACGACTCAAGGAGTGATATCGAAAACGATGAGGCATCAAAAGAAAATACAGTATGTGTATTCTGGGTTTTGTTGTTTAATCTAGTCAATTATTAGGAAAAAAAAGAAAGAAAAATTGAAAAATAAGAAAAGGTGAAAAACAGTAGAATTACATGTAAATGACAGTGGTATTTTACTGACATAAGCAAGAAGCTCATCTCTCTGATCAAATTCTGTTGTATATGCAATTTGATAAATTTTTCTTATTTTCCTACATTGTTTTAACCTTTACGCTATCTTCATTTGGCTTTGCTAGAAATTATTTTTAAGGAAAGGTAATTTAGTTAGTTGTGAAATTCAAGGGGCTGCCTTTTCAAAAGGGAGGTGAATGTGTAGTTGAATATTAAATGACACCATTGCAAAAAAAAAATAAATAAATAAAATTCTGTTATTAAGTGCAGTAGAACAATTTACTATGCCAATATATCCATGAAGTTTGAAGATTTACAAATTATGGCCCCAAGATAAGATTTAAGCCATATGGATAATCTATAGTCTCTATGTTATTGTCCCATTATAAAAGCTTATACATGTAATAACAGTTTCTAAAATTCATTTGCAGTTGCAGTCGAAATTGTGAAATTTTGAATTTTTGAAATCATGGCTATTTTCTTTTTGACCTACAACTATTTATATAATAGGGGTTCAGAGTTACTACTCATTATTGTAATCTGGGCAAGCTTTGTTATCAAAAGGTCTTCTTTCTTTTTGTCCTGAGATCAATATTATGTCTTAGAGTATTTCCTTTGATGAAACACTAACAAGCCTACAGAGTTGACTGATAATGATTTTATTGTGTTTTTGTAGCAAAATCAAAAGAAAGAAAAATCAATGTTATGGGACAAAGTGACAGAACTTTCATCAAAAGGAATTATTAAAATAGTGGAATTTGCCAAGAAAATGCCAGGATTTACCTCCCTTTCTACCTCAGATCAAATCACTCTCCTAAAGGCAGCTTGTTTAGAAATCATGGTAAGCAAAAACGCAAATATAGGGGGGAAAAAAAGAAATTCTGTTTGCTTTGAGAGATTCTGTATTCCATTATACAGAGGGAGGCATTATAAGGTAACATGTTGTCAGGTTTGGCAATAAGAACTATTAGAGCATGAAAATGATTGGATGACATAGCTGTCACCTAATATAGGCATTACAGTGTAATGTTGACAGAGAATGTGTGATTGATGAATGAACTTTCTTACCCTGTGACCTCCCACTGCAAGCCGGAATAAAGTCTTCCCATTCACCACCCACAAACAGACAAATTCAGATAAATTAAGTCCTCATCCACACACCATAGATTGGCAGACTCTTGTAAACCAAGTCCTCATCCACCCCCCATAGACTGACAGACTCCAGTAAACTAAGTCCCCATCCACCCCCCATAGACTGACAGACTCCAGTAAACTAAGTCTTCATCCACCCACCATAGACTGACAGACTCCAGTAAACTAAGTCCTCATCCACCCACCATAGACTGACAGACTCCAGTAAACTAAGTCCTCATCCACCCACCATAGACTGATAGACTCCAGTAAACTAAGTCCCCATCCACCCCCCATAGATTGACAGATTCATCCACCCATTGGAGACTGACAGACTCCGGTAAACTCTCCATATACCTCAACATACAGATATACTCTGGAATAAACTAGCAAGTTTCATCCCCCCTCAATATTACCAATACTACACTAAATATTTATGATAAAAGGAGCATATAGTAAAGCAGTTAGTGTATTTAAACTACATGTATTTAAGTTGCCTACATTGAGGGCATGCAAGTATTTCATTTTACCAGTGTGCATCCTTCTCTTCTCTCTGTCTGTTTGTCAGTGCCTGTTGGTGGTCAGAAGGTGCCAACAATACCCAGCTTTTCTGTTTCCTTTAAAATACTTCTATTAAATAAAGTTAAATCCTTTTCCGAGCCATGAGGCTCATAAGTTTGGTGCTTATACCAGGTTTCTGTGGTGATAAGTGGATGAGAGTCATTGACTCACAATGGATGGGACACCAGTCCATTGCCACTCACCAAGATAATGCTGATAAAGTGTCTTATCTAAGGACACATCACGTGACCACAGCAGGGCTTGAACCAGCAACCTTTTAGTTACTAGCCAAACACCTATGACCACTGAGCTTTGTACTTTAATACAGGAGTCATTTTACATACAGAAGTCTATGTCAAGATCATATTATAAACCATGGTTGATGATTCTGATTTGATTCAGAGAATTACTGGGGTATTATTTTTAAGCCATGAAACAATTTACTGACATTGTCAGGAGGGGGGAAAACCCTATTACTGGTGGATTGGGGCAGGTGAATGTAATCATATCATAGTGTATAATAAATCAAGTTGACAGAATTGCTGGCTTTGATCTGGACACTGGCTGATCTGTCTTATGTCCAAATGATAGCCAGACTGGTCAGACGTACAGGTATCTACTCTTTAGTGATCTAGATGCGGACACTGATAAATGACTAGATTATGCATATTATGGCGTTTTAATGGCATTGCTGTTTGTATTATATGTATGCCATTAATGTGACCTACATGTAATTACATGCATCTTACCTAACTGCGGAATCACCTGTTTGATCATGAATGTTGTTTATATGAAATGCTAATTGTTATAATCGTTCTTTAGATTTATTTTGAATGCCAAGCATTTTTATTCAGTGTTGGTATATTGAATAAATATTTTAATTTACATTGCTCAAGATACTGCTTAGCTGATAATAGCACAATTAAATGATTAGCAGGATCTTTTCTAGAAAAGTTAAAGATGACATGTTAGATATTTCATTGTTAGGACACTTACACTTGTAAGTCACTGGGTTATCATGTATCATCCATAGTCCATAAAATTTCCATATCTGACTTCTCTAGAATGATGGGACTAGTTTTAAACAAGTTTGTCTCAGACTGTCCTTGGACATTGGGGATTCAGTTTTGTTCAAATGAAGAACCTTGTCTCTTTGCAAAGGGAGATAAATAAGAAATAGGTGAAAATCTTTTCTTTAAGAACAGAGAGCAACAAATGGCATGCTTTGTAAAAGCTCTCTTGTGTAGTTTAAGTTTGTTCAAACCATAGCCTTTAAGTCCAGGATGGACCCACAATGGGGTCAACAGAGTCAACAAAACTATATAGGAAAACTCAAGAACAAAAAAAGCAATGAATTTTCAACATTGAGTACAATCTTCCCTTGGATTCAGATTTTTTTGTACACATGGTTCTGGGGCCAGGATTGGGCCACAGAGGAGATTCATTTTTATATTGCCAAATGGGTAGAAATAAACCTGTAAAATCTTCATTTCTAGAATATTATCAAACAGGTCTTTAGAAATCTTTGTTCAGTAATTATGTGGTTACAAATTGTCAAATATACATTCAAGCATCCCAAAGTGATGTAGATTTTTTTTGATTCTTTGTCACCAGGGTTGCATAATGAGGATTTAATATTTGACAAAAATCATGAAAATTTACAAATTTTTATGATTGAAATTGTCTTAGATGATAATGGTGATGATTTATTTGCAGATTTTACGATTGTGTTCACGCTATGATTTAGACAAAGATGTGATGTTATTCAATGGGGGACTGAGTCTAGATCGAGAACAGCTACAGAGAGGGGGCTTCGGCTCTCTAACAGACACTATATTTAAATTTGCCTCCTCTCTGAAAGTGTTGGACATTGACGAGACAGAGTATGCTGTGCTATCTGCCATTTGCCTGATATCTGGAGGTATGTACACAACAAAGATACATAATTCTAATAATATGGATGCTTGTTTTAGGTCACCCGGACACTATGTGTTCCTGTCTGTCATTGTCCATCAATATTAACCATTTAAGAACTTTCAGCTTCTTCCTTCAAATTTCTCAATGAGAAATACTGTATACAGGGCTATTTTTGCCCCTTGTTATTTTCGTCCTTTCACATTTACAAACAATTTTGCCCCGTTTTAAATTTGCCCAGTCACAGTTCTGTTTAAGAAATAATGCTTTGTTCCTTAAATTCGCCCCATTTTAATTTCACCCAACTTAGAATGGCGAAAATAAAACGGGGGCAAAAATTTCTCTGTATACAGTAATCAGACTAAGTGGAAAATATATATATGTGTATGAGGCTTAGATAATAAATGCTAGTAATGGGAATAGGGAGGATTTTCATATTCTGTCATTTATTTTGTGTGTACTGACTGCTTCCAATGATTTCTTTTTGTTTTCAGACCGCTCAGGACTAGAAGATCCAGAGAAAGTAGAACAGATGCAGGAACCAATACTGGAGGCATTGAAACATTATGTGAGGTCTCGGCGAAAAGACCTGCCTAATGTGTTTGCTAAAATTCTTTATAAAGTTACAGATTTACGAAGTATAAGTGTCAAAGGTTAGTGCATTCTTACAATAGAGGTATTACAGGATTCTTTAATCTTTGAGATCAAATCAAATTGTTTGTGCTGTCTTTTTTCTTAAAAATATCAACAGCAGCTGTTGAAACATATGCTTTGCACTGTTGAAGTCGCAACCATTTTTCTTTTAAATGTAATTTTTTACCTCGATATCTTAAATTAAGTTTTTTCTGGACTCCATCAAGTTCAATATAAGACAAGGTTTGACTGCATTACATTTTATAATAAGCAAGTACCAATTATTTTGGCTACTTTCATTTTCAGGAGCTGAGCGGGTTCTTCACTTGCGGTTGGAAATGCCAGATGAGCTTCCACCGTTAATCATAGAAATGTTGGACAGACAGGAAAATGTGTGTATTCCTTGATCGGAATGTGACAGATAGGCAGTTAATATAATACTCCATGTACAGTTTGCATCAACACAGAACGAAGTTAAGATCTGATTCCACACCTGTGAAAATGTTTTCAAACCAGTGATAGCAAAACAAAAAACAAAACAACACAAAGCTGTTCTTTTTTTTGTGTGTGCAGACAGAACCTGGTCTGTGATCCAACGACTTGGCTGTGGGTGATTTCTGGTACATATGGAGGCATCTTTGTGATGAACCTCAGTGTTATTTATTCTTTGTATGATTGTCACGGACTTCTAGCACACATACTAAGACTGTGTGTGACCAAATGGAGACTGTTGCAAGTCTTTAATGATATCGTGGATGGTAATACGATAGTGTGTGTATAACTAAATATGGATATGCGTGAATAATATAATTGCTGCTGTTTTCTCTCTGCTTTTATCAGACTACAAACTTTTTTTTTGATTGGAAAAAAAAATGATCTCATTCAAAATTTCTATATATGTGTCATAAGTCCTTACTGATTTTCATGTTTCATTCTGGGGTTTTTTTGGTGTGTTGTAATGAGGTATTTTTCAGTTGACAGTTTACTATTAGTGCATAAGAAATTCTGTGTTTTGGGCTAAATTATACATAATACCTGTACTTACCCTTTTTCTTTATAACATCCATATTTTTTTTTTAAATTTCAAACAAGCACACATCCTCAAAATTTCTAGATGCGTTGTAATTAATGTCTGACTTAGAAGAAGTTTAGATCAAAAGAAGTTACTTAATTTTTGAAATACACAGGTATCCATGAATTTTATGAGAATTTGGAACCAAGGAAAGGAACTGATTTTGCAAAATATTTTCATGGGATTCAAAAAGGTAACCATGTTTAATTTTCAACATTTGATAAATCGTTTTCATTTCTTTCATAGAAAATGTTTGAAGGTGAGATTATGGATAATTGTTGGAATTTAATTTTAAGTATTAGAAATTTTAAGTATTAAAGTGTACTGATTTTATTTAACTGAAATATTTTTTTGTAATGAATGAGGGCATAAAACGTGTAGAAAGGTTATTAGGAAGACAAGTTGTGATATTATTCAAAGTTTGCTCAATTTTGTCTTACCAATTCTCTACCTCCTTTTTGACAAATATCTCCTTTTTGTTATCTGTGTAGTAGTATTCCAAAGTTTTATTGCTGTGAAGACAGTGTCCTCATTGAAGCTGCAGTGTTGGGTTATTGAATACACTGCTGAACAGAATGTTAACAAGATAGCCTGTGATTTTTGAATGATGCAGGATGAGTGCTCCATTCTGAAAGTGACTGCAAGTTTTACATAATATTGGCAATTTAAGGGTAATTTTGTTCATTTGCTTAGTTGCAGAAAATGCAATTACATAATTTTAATATTTGGACAAGTGTTTGGTTTTTTTTTTCATTATTTTTCCCCTGTTTTTGTAGAATGCTAAATTTTTTTAAAAGTATCTGAATGGCAAAATTTGTCTATAGAGCTAAAATAGCCAAAATTTAAAAGATTTTGTCAATGTGAACATTGATGCTTCATCTTAGCTTACAAACGAGAACTTTTGAAGTCCTGGAGTTTAGTTGAAATCATCTTTTTGCAGCATGCATCCTTCATGTTCTTATTTAATTCTGTAATTTTAATAAAAGTTAACTTGAACAAAGCTTAAACTTCATTAGAATCAGAGCTTTGCTCTACAATAATACTCTGTCAAAGTTCTCCGGTGAAATCTCTATTGTTATATTCCAGTATAATATTTCATTCATCTTCAAGCTGAAAATATCACATGGTTTGATTTTAAAATTAATGATTCATATGAGTTGAGTTAATCTAATGATAGTTAAATTTGAATAATTAATATAATTAAGATAATAACCATAAGATTCTTCATTGAAGGGCTCTATCATCATAAAATATGTTCATTTTAGTGTGCTTAGTGAAGTGAAGGGGATGGTTGTGTTTAATATGAATTGTAATTGATGAATGAAAGATAATGTGACAGTTTATGTTAAAATTGTTCTATATGTATATATATATATATATATCAGTCCCAAAAATGTAAACTAAGTGTGGTAGTTTTAAATGCATCAGAGTCTTTGTAAATGTATGTCAAGATCTTTATATTCTTTTGAACTGGTTTCAAGTATTTTTTTATTTACTAAATCAAATAAAAGATAAAAACAAATTAATTGTTAAAAACTTAGCCACCATACTGTTATAAACACTTGAAATGCATTTTGTAGAAACATGCTTTCTTTTGGTGCCATTTTTGTATGTTATAAATTTTGTAATACCGGTCGCCTCAGATTTGGAGTCAGGTTAAATTGATTGATCATATTTACATTTCATGCATTCTGAAATCAAAGGATTTTTGGAGTGATTTATAGAGTCACCTTATTAGTATGGTGGTTTTGAATGAAATTTACGAAAAGCTTCAGCATAAAGTGAAACACACCAAATGTTTCAGTAATTGATGATCTTATTTCTTATAGAAATGATACTGAATATAAAATTCTCAGTAATTAAAACTAGGTATAGAAGTACTTGAACATTACTCCCTTTTACCACATGTAGTATGTTACGAATTCATCGAGTGTCTGCTGTGAATGTTTAGATTTGTTCTTGTACGATAAACTACCTCATCAGAAAAAATATTAAACATTGATTGTGAAATTGTGTTTGTTATGAATGAAATTGAAGGTACACAACAGCATTTGTGTAATGCTTCATTCAGAAATGAAATAAAGATGGTGGACATTGTAAAAGTCTATATCTAGGACAAGGCCATTTGTTGATTTCTAGGCCCCCGAAGATCAAAGGTCAGGGGCATAATGTTTTTTTTTTTCTGTTGGCGAAAACTTTCATATTTGGCATTTGAACTGTGATAGGTAAACCTTTCAAGTCCGGTACGCATATTAAACTAATATTCATGCACTTTCAAATGCACTCGAATCAAAAACCTTATTAGTCCATGATAAATCTGTATTCAAACCATATCCAACTGTAAAACATCGAATTTCTGCTTGTAACATAAATTTTCCCTGTTGACCGTTTTAGCTTAGATTTTTCACAGTGTGGTTAAGTATCAAATTCAATGGATAAAAAACAGGGTTTAAGGTAGTCCGATCATCAGGTTCTGAAAATCAGCTTTTAAGTAAATGAAAATGCTCACAAAAATGTCTCTGATTTCACATATAGCAACGTGAATTTACCCATGGAATTTCTTCAAAGTTCATCATTATAGTTAATCATATTATATAGGGAAAATTATTAAATCTCAAGTATATCATTGCTAGACATCACATCTAATTTCATACCATGCTAATAAGCAGTGGTATCTAATGCTAGACGAAAGGAAATTCGATTTCTCTAAAAATGAATTCATTTTTTTTTTCTTTTATGGGGTACAAACGTCAACTTTTTACAAGACCGTTTCTAAGACTTCAAAGAACCTTGAATCATATTAAGATGCATAAAATGAAAATTGTGGCACGAAATGATCCCTATTTCAAGCTTCATTTTGAGACTTTTTAAATAAAATGATAAATTTAAGAGTTATCCTTCCTGGCTAAGGATTGGATATCCTTAACCGTTTTAAGTGTAATAAATGTACGAAAGCCTATTAGGATCAAGCTATGGAGGAAAAAATAAAAGGCGTTTTAAAGCAACGTGAAAAAATGTTATAACGCGAAAAAGGCGTAATAACGTGAAAAAAGGTGTCATTATGTCTTTCTAAAAGGCGTCATTGCGCCTTTAAAAAGGCGTTGTAACGCCTTTTCAAAATTAAGTATATAGGGCTAATTTCTCAAAAAATAATTTATTTAAACAGATTGCAGTGTATATCCAGGAATAGGAATTTTAAATATGTAACCATCTTAGTCCTCTGATGCCAGACACCTGGATCAAGGCACTGGCGGTTTTAGATGGGGGTTAAACCCCCCCCCCCCCCCCTTGCGACCAAACATATAAATGATTCATATTTTATTTTGGTTGTTGTGGTATATTGTTTTGATTCAGTACACATATAGAGTAAATCTTAAGTAAGTTTAAAAAAAAAAGATGTTCTATAAGACTCCTAAAACCTGAGGGCTTCTGGGGGGTTCGTCCCCTGCATGCATGTGCCCCTACCCCATAAGCCCAACTGATTTGGTTCCCCTTTTCAAGAATCCCGGATCCGCCATTGCAGTTTTAAGGGTCATTGATTTCACAGTTGTAGTTGAAGGCTAATTGCTCATTTTACCCATGCAAATAGTTTGCCTGCTTTTTTTCCAAGAGGAAAGAAAAAGATTTTCAAATGTGAAAATATTTTTTTAATATATGACCAGCAAAGCCCCAAGCTGCATATGCCTAAATCCTGGATTTTCACAAGTAGAGTGTTGACTTGCAAACAGTTTCCTGCTGCTGGAGTATAAAAATATTTTTAACTATTATATAGTCTATAAATAGTCCCTATATAATCTATACAAACGCAAACAGTTCATAATACTACATAATCACTGGATTTGAAGCCATATTCACCGGAGGGTCAGTGCGTCACAATCAATACCTAAAACAACGTTGAAACGGCCGGAGCCAGCTGTATATATGCTGTATATCTGAGCAGGAAAACTTCTAGGCAAATTTCTCGTAGGCTTATTTTCCAAACATTTCGATGTCTTACACACAGCAAAAGGAAAACATGGAAATTATAATCTGGACATTTTTTTTTTTAAATTTTTCTACGACAGAAGTTCGTTAATGAAAATGGAGTCGTCATGCAGCCTTCAATGTCTTATTTATTCAAATCCTGACTATATAAAAAAATAATTATGGACTCTCTCGGTGGTGAATATGGTTTGTTATTCACCAGAAAAATATCAATATTGACCCAGGCGAAGCCGAGGTCAATATTGATATTTTTCTGGTGAATAACAAACCATATTCACCACCGAAAGAGTCCAAAATACTGTATAATATTGCATGATTATAACACGTTTTTTTCGTGCTATTACGCCTTTATTGGCGTTATAAACCTTTTCACTTCGCGTTAGTATAAGTTTTTTAAAACGCCTTTTCCCTTTACGTTATAACGCCTTTTAAAAATTTTATCTCTATGTAGAGATTGATTCTTATAGGCCTTCTACGATGGATACCCCACCTCGATTCGGATAGGCATATTCATCCCAGATAGATCTGGAGTTGGATAAGAAAAAACGCTATTTAAATGCCAACAATATAAATCGTAAGGCCCCTCAATATTATTATACTGGTAAACGTAAGGAACATATATTACACACAAGACTACGACTTGACTGTAGCTCACTAAAAAGTCATTTATTTTCTCGAAATATTGTCAGCAGCCCAAATTGTAATTGTGGCGAGATTGAAACTTCTGAACATTTCCTCCTGTATTGTCGTTATTTTGAAAATCTCAGAGATAGTTTTATTTACACACTTCCACATTACATCAACACCAATATATTATTATTTGGTGACCAAAACCTTCCACTGGCAGAAAATGTTGCGATCTTTAAATCTGTCCAAAAATATATTGTAGCTACCAAGAGATTTATTTAACCAGTTTCCCCATGGTATCTATTTACTACTCCCTCTCCCGTTGGTATGTTCTTGTGTATATTCTCTTAAGTGTGTGTATAGCAAGCGTCATTTTTTTCATTGTTATTTTTCTTCTCAACTTTGTTTTAATATCTGCTACTGCTGTAAAGCCTCTGCAGTTATTCTTTAATTATTTTTCCTATAAATTCAACCATATTCTGTTTTAATATCTGCTACTGATGTAAAGCTCCTGCATTTATTCTTTAATTATTTTCCCTGTAAATTCAACCATATTCTGTTGCCTACATATTGTACAAGTCCATTAGATTTCTTCTGTATAATTAGAACGTCATTCATTTGTGTGAATCGACATAATTTCTAATTTAACATGTATGTCAATTTCAAATATTAGTTTTTAAGCATCTTCAAACCGTGTTTTGTAACTATCTAATAAGGGTCTGTCATCTTAATCATAATAATAAGGAAACCGATTAGTATAAGTTTTCAAACTTGTTTCCGAATCCTTTTTGATTTTTCTACTTGCCTGTATTTTCTGCTTGTCATTTTGAAATAAAATATGGCTTAAACTGAATTAACCAATAAAATGAAGTCCATTTTTGTTTTACATTATGGTATTGAAAATAAGGTGTAAATTAACATATTTTCTAATTTTTGAAAAACAGACTGGATGGAATATTTTCATTCACATTTTCTCATATGATTGTTCTCTTTCATGTGAATCTAAATTAACAATGCAGTAAATAATGTCGAAGGATTTTTCGACAATTTTTTTCATTGCTGTTTATTATTTTATGCAACGCCTATAGTTTGGGTATATGAAAGATTGAAAAAAAGAGAGAAATCTCGTGTTTGACTGATGAGTGTCAATTTTGAGAGTGATGCAGATATAAGCACCAGGAAGGATAAACAGAATATATTCTGACAACATTACTTAGAGCTAAGTTCTCATCAAAGAACAGTTACTTTTGCTGATTTTTTTTAATTGAAAGACTGATATGGATATATGCAAACATCCCGAGGAAAATTGGAGTGTCGAGTGAAGTTCTTTAATTGCAAGCTAATTAATTTTGCTTTTAAATAAAAATATAACTGTCCTACAATACATTGCATTGTAATGCTTGATGTACTGTCTAACTAAAACATACTTGGTCTATTTTTATTATTAGGCAAAACAGTGAAAAAAATATAAACTTTCCTGTTTGACTGATGAGTGAATATTTTGAGACTCAAACAAAGCGCCGATGACTTTGTAGAACAATCAAAGACGCTATTCAATACTGCTTAGCAGTACTTCTTTAGCGAGTTCAGCTCACACTAGGTCCTTTACACGCGACATTACCCGTAACCGTTATTTACTCTGACTTTAACACATGGTCATTTGTGAATGTCTCTCTAACGTCTTATATATATAGTATACAAGCCAGTTACTCGTAAGCATTGCTTAAATATTTACATAATATAAAGCAGAAATCAATGATCGTTTTGTCTACGTTGTTCAAAGGGACATAATTTGAGTTATCGAACTTTGAAACAAAACTTACATTATGCAAATTTCCAAATAAACATTCAATCACAAGGACAAATTGTATATAAAAGCTGTCTTTGGAGGGTGGATGGTGGGGGAATATCTCTAATACATTGACAAGTAAATTAATTGTGCTTGTTTAAATACAAGTAGAATTGCACCATATTGCACTCTGCTGCAATACAATGCGATACATTGTGATGCTTGCCAAATTGTCCAATCAAAATTAACTCGGTCAATTTTTTTCTTAATTGAATTTAAAAACTGATTAAATACACACATCTTTTTTTTCATTTTATGCTTTGAAAAAAAAAGTTTCAAAAACAGACTAGAGAGCATTTCTTTTATTCTTATATTCTTAGCATGTTTAAATATTCGTTTTCTTTTGATATGAATCAAAATTAACAATCAGAAATTAAGTCGAAGGACTTCCGTAAAGTTACGTGTTGCTGGGTTTTTTTTTATCGAATGACTAGTTTGGATATGCACAAAAGATCCAAAAGAAATGAACACTCCTTTTTGACTGATGAGTGAATTTTTTTTGTTTGCAGGAGAATTTATACTGTTTATCATAATAAGAATTTAACTGCAT